CTCTGAGCTGTCAGCACAGAGCGTGATGTGGGGCTCAAACTCACGAGCCTTGAGATTATGACCTGATCTGAATTCAGATGCTTAGCTGACTGAGCCACCCAGGCACCCCTTTCCTACCTTTAAATGTGCCTGTATGCATGTACATCACGTTGATGCACATGGAAGAAACCATATTCTGCATGTTCCTGTCACCAAATTGTCTTTGGAAACAAGACTTCCGATGGCTACATAGCATGGCTACATCTACTAGAAGTTAAGCACTGTTCTCCTGCAATTTTGTGTTATAAAATTTTGCTGTTATAAATATGACATTGATAATCTTCTACATGAATCTGTGTTCATTTTGTGTGTTCACTTTAAAAAGTGATTTTCTCAGTCTTAATTCTGAAAGTAGCATTACTGACACTCCAGACCCTTGAGATGCAGCATCAAACTATGCCTCTCCACTTCCGTTTCACTCTTCCTGACCCGCATCAGCCATGGTTAGTCAGCGTGATAGCTGAACAGTCACTCTGCTTTGCCTTTCTTTGACTACCGATCTAATTCGAAAGTTCAAGAGCCATTTCTATCCCTCCCTTTTTCAGTTCAGTTTGTGTCCTTTTCCATTTGGTCAGTTTTATAAGAAACTTTAATTACCAAAATAGTTAAGAACATTAAGAAAATGTTTAAAGAGAAGTCAATGTTGGGGCACCTGGGTGGTTCAGTCGGCTAAGTGTCTGACTCTTGGTATTGGCTCAGGTCATGATCTCACAGTTCGTGAGTTTGAGCCCCACGTCAGGCTCTGTACTGACAGTGAGGAGCCTGCTTGGGAAGCTCTCTTTCCCTCTCTCTGCCCCTCCCCGCTCATGCTCTCTCTCTGTTTCTCTCTCTCTCTCTCAAAATAAATAAATAAACTTAAAAAAATAAAGAAAAGTCAATGTTTCATTGCATTTTAATTTGAAGGAGGTAGAAGGTTCTGGGGTGGCTAAATATCACTGACAGAGAAAGCTACTGAAATACTTACACCAATGCACTTGACAACTTTAGCCATGACATTACCCTGGGGCTGAAACTTCTTGTACATTCCACTGCCAATGACGAACACAACTGGGAAGGCAAAAGAAGACGTTAACAAGGCGTTTGACAGAACTACCTGTGACGTAGAAGACGTGTTTTTATTTGAGTTACAACCTTGTTTTAGAAATACTGGGATTACTCACAGAATGGGCTTGCCTTCCTATGTCCCAGTTTGGAAAGTGCTTTTGATCCTAACAATCACAGAAGCTTTGAGCGGTGGTATATTTGTGCTGTCATATACAAACATTGGAGCCTATTACTGTCCACTTCCCACATTTTGGGGTGGCTCACAGACGCTCCATATGGCTATTTAAGTGCAAGTTTTATTCTTAAGCATAGGGAGACAAAGGAGTAAGTGCTTTCACGTAACAGATCAGTGCATAATTCTATAAAGACAAAAAAACAGCTTTAATTTTCTGATTGCAATGGCAGAAGAGTTTCTTCTTTTTTAATAAATCTTCAGAAAAAGGAAGAAACTAGTTTGTTAAAACCTTACTTAATCATGTGTGGCAGAGTTCATTCCGTGGTCACGGTACAGAAAAACAGTGGTGAATTTTTGCATCTGCGGCTACAGTTTTACACAGTTAAAGCACTTTTACAATATGGCAATTCTTCCATGGATCTTCCTAGAAAAGGCATATTGTAAAAATAGAAAAAGCATTCCTTCAGGAGACTCTGGAAACCCAGTACCGTATGAGGATTTCTGATTGTCCAATACCACAGTTTAATCATTTAAAAGCACCAATGGGTTGATGGAATGCCACTTAATTTCCTCAATTTAAAAGGGCCTGAGATTTTGAGAAGTGCTACCTCTGAAAGCATATGTCCAAGTATGTGCCTGTGTTATAGGTGTTCTTTATGGTTGAATAAAGAGAAATATACTTGAATCCTCACCCGATGCCAGTCTTCCTTAATCCAGAGATGGCAGAGATACCCATAGATGGAGTCTACTCTGTTTTACCAACGAATATTTTAATCTTTAAGCTTCTGATTAACTTACGCCTAATTCAAGCACAAGATTGCTGCTGAAAGAAACTTCAAGAGACAGCATTGATGCATAGAATTTGGCCTATTCTCAATTCTTCCATTCGAGAAACATTGTATGATGTAAGAATGACCCATGCAAACTAAATGACAATTTATCTAATGCCAACTGACTACAGCGTCTGGCCTCGAACAACAGCTTTTGAGATCCTTTTTTATCTCCTTACGCAGAATCGGAGAGGAGTAGGCATATATGGACTTTCTAGGGGAGTGTGGCAGTATTTAAACAGTTATGGAAGGAAATGGACACAGAAAAAAAGGGAAAATACTGAATTCTGGCTTGGATGTAAGGGTGAAGCTAATTTGCTACAAGCTGAACAAACAGGGTTAAGAGGGGGCATAATTGACTCCATGAAGAACTGAAAAAAAGTCAGAGAAAGTAATAGTGCCAGCACTTTCTCATTTGAGTGGGAAGCTGCAAAGGCCTGAGATGCGTATTGGGCTCTGTTTCCTGCTTGTACTACCGTTACAGGTTGAATCGTGTCCCCGACCCCCACCACCCCCCGCCCCCAGAAGATGCTGAAGTCCTTACCCCCAGTACCTCAGAATGTGACCTCATTTGGAAATACAGCCTTTGCAGAAGATCGAGTTAAGATGAGGTCATTCAGGTGGCTCCTACTCCAATATGACTGGTGGCCTTACAAAAAAGGGCAAATTTGGACACAGATGTGCACACAGGGGAAGGCCACAGGCAGATTGGCATTGTGCTGCATCAGGCCAGGGAACTACCAGAGGTAGAAGAGAGACCTGGAAGAGATCCCTCTCAGTAACTTCAGAGGGAGCAGGGCCCTCTCGCCATGTTGATTTTGGATTCCCCACCTCCAGAGCTGTGAGATGATAAATAAATTTGTAATGAAGCCACCCAATCTGTAGTGTTTTGTCGCGGTAGTCCCAGGAAACGAAGACACCTGCCGTCTTTCAATGTAGACTATCCTAGGGCGAAACTGTCCATACTTCCTAAAAAGCCAGGGCCAAGAACTAATGTGTGAATGAATGTGTCTAACAGACACATATATTCCTCCCAACGGGAAGATACTCTAGTAGAACCATTTCGAGATGATGTATTATGGAAATCTGGATGTTCACTGGAAGTATTTAAACGCTAACTGGACCAGGCTGCCGGGTCTTGAGGCAAGCTGGAGACGAGCACACGCTGATAAGAGCAAAAGCGTTCGGTCATGGGGTCATCTAGTCTAATAGATTCTGTCACTTTTCACCTTAAATCTGCCTAAATAGTGTCAAACTTTTCAGAGCCCAGCTCAGTTGATCCCATTTCCTGTAAACTCTTTTTTGATCTTATTTGCTCTGAAGTAATATGCCAACTCTACTTTGTTTGAATGTTCAGAGCATGGGAATTATTATTACAATTTATTCCATGAAGTTTTAAAAAATTGGTCACAATAATTAATGTGAGGGTCTGACCTGATCATAGGATTGTACTAATTCAACTGATTTCTACTTACTCAGAGCTACAGCCATGAGAGCAGCAGGGACCCCAAATGCCAGTGGGTAGCAAGCTTGTTTACTGTGAATTCCACATTGTTGAACTGGGGAGAAATTATAAGATTAAAATTCATTATAACATTTTTTTATAATCTTATTTTTTAATGTTTATTTATTTTTGAGACAGAGAGAAAGAGCATGAGCAGGGGAGGGGCAGAGAGAGAAGGAGACACAGAATCTGAAGCAGGCTCTGGGCTCTGAGCTGTCAGTACAGAGCCTGACGTAGGACTCGAACTCACAAACTGTGAGATCATGACCTGAGCAGAACTTGGATGCTTAACCGACTGAGCCACCCAGGCGCCCCTCATTATGGCATTTTTAATGCTCATATATGGTTATCATTTTTTTTAAAATCCCTAACTGGTTATTACATATTGCTTTTACTTGATGTTCTAGACTTATCCATTTGCTTTATCGATTTCATTGCCTGCTGAGCCCAGCAGCTTTGTAGTAGAAAGAGCAAGAGACGAACGTAGGTTCTAATCTTAGCCCCTAAATAGATGTCTGACACTGGCCAAGCCAAAATCAGTGGGAATCCTTATATGGATTTTCTTGGCGGGAGAGATAAAAGTGACCTGGATCCAATAACTTGAAGACAGGGGACCCAGTAAATAAAATCAAAAGTACCCTGGAAAATCAAGAGTGTGTGTTCCTGAATTCATGCTATTTAAAAAACAATTAGATGGCCCAGGGCAGGGGTCAGCAAAGTTTTCTGTGAAGAGCTGGAAGTAAATATTCCAGGCTTTGTGGACCATTCAGTCTCTGTCGCAACTACTCAACCTTGACTTTGTAAGGTGAAAGCAGTCATGGACAATAGACAAATCGATGGTCTTGTCCAGATTTCTGGATTTGGCCCATCAGCCATAGTTTTCTAACCTCTGACTGCACATCCATTGTAGCTCTGAAATCCTAGGATTGGTGAGGAAAAAAAAAATTAAGACTCTGGAAGGAGAAGTAGAGATTATTGGACATTCCTTCTTTTTCTTTCTTTAAAAAATGTTTATTTATTTATTTTGAGAGAGAGCATGAGCACGAGTGGGGGAGGAGCAGAGAGAGAGGGAGGGAGAAAATCCCAAGCAGGCTTCGTGCTCAGCCTGACATGGGACTTGATCTCATGACCATGAGATCATGACCTGAGCTAATATCAAAAGTTGGACATTTAACCGACTGAGCCACCCAGGGTCTCCTAGAAATTCTTTCAATGAAATGGAGCCTCCAGGAATAATCTGATCCGAAAGGGGTTTGACTTTGTCTTTGACTGACTAACCGTTTCACAATTCGGTAGAGAAAGAAGTTAACTCGTAGAAAATTAATAGTCACGCAAATGTTTCCTGTTCATAGCTGTCCAAATGATTCTGTTCGTGGCAATGCAAACTCACTCTTCCCTCTGGGAAGAGCGTACATCTCTGTTGTTCAAATCCTTATTGGAGCTGATTGTAGCAGTGTTCCTCCAGTTTCTTCACTGATTAATCAGTCATATAAAATCTCAGCACATGCTCATTTTATATTTGTGTGAGAGCTAGGATTTTACCTTTAAAATTATCCTTTAACACATTCTGTAATTCAAACGTGCATAAGTACATATTCTACTAGAACCTGGAAGTGGGGGAGGTGAGGGAACATAATGAAAGAATAAAGTATCTTTATTATTATTTTTTTAAGTAGGCTCCATGCCCAATGTGGGGCTTGAACTCACAACCCTGAGGTCAAAAGTCGGATGTTCTATGGACTGAGCCAGCCAGGTGCCCCAAAGCTATTAAATGTTTATACAAAACAAGTTGGAATGGGATTTAAGGGTCATCCTCAAACTACTACTCCAGGCAGAAATACATAAATCCCCACAAAATATTTTCTTTCATCATTGAATCTGATTTGCAGTGTGGACACCACAGGGTTGTTTTGGTCTAATCTGTCCCCGGATAGTCCCTTCAGGTGGGAAATTCACAGACTCTCAGTGGAGTGTCAGCAAACACAAATACCTGAGCGCTCTTGACAGCTGCTGTCTCCTTCTCCATCCCGGGAAGTTCTTTTAGAAATAGCTAAGGGGTACCTGGGTGGCTCAGTCGATTAAACATCCAACTTCCGCTCAGGTCATGATCTCACGGTTTGTGGGTTTGAGCCCTGCGTCGGGTCCTGTGCTGACAGCTCAGAGCCTGGAGCCTGCTTCGGAGTCTGTGTCTCCCTCTCTCTCTGTCCCGCCCCTGCTTACGCTCTGTCTCTCTCTCTCTCTCTGTCTCTCTCTGTCTCTCTCTCTCTCAAAACTAAATAAACATTTAAAAAATCTAAAAAAAAAAAAACCAACAAGAAATAGTTGAGATGAGAGGAAGGCAAAGAATAAAATGTTGCCACTAAATTCTTCCCAACTCACTGCATATCGCTGGGGAGCACAAATTTGTGCCCAAAGGCACAAATGCCAAGTACGACCCATCCAGATCTGGTTGCCAGACAGCACCTCTTTCTTGCCTTCTCTCTTACCATGAATAAAGACTTTGCATTAATAAAAACTTAGGAAAAATTATTGCCATGCTAGGGGTGTTTTAGATTCTTCAGTGGTCTTTGGGATAAGGGAGTCAAATAGGATTAGAAACGACACGAAGCTCATTTTCTGGATTTCGAAGTATCCGACGCAGAAGCGTAATGGGAGAAAAGAGGGACAAAACAAACAAACAAAACAAGGACTTAAACTTGCCACCTGACTTTCTCCCCATAATTCAAAAAAAGAAAACCGGATATGTCTTACCTCTGAGCATGGGAGTGATGATAGTAGAAAGCAAGCTTCCAGCATTAATGGCCAAATAAAAGATGGAAAAGAATCGGTTTCTTTGTTTTTCCTGTAATTAACAGGATAAGGTTACAACATGACTTTGGTTATATATCAACTGATCAAATGTGGCTGATGATCGGTCCTTGAAAAGAATCAAATGGAGAACAGACTTGGTGTCTGTGGAATAATTCCTGGATGTTTATATTTGTTTTATGTAGTTTCTGTGAAGGCACATGATCTCACCTGGCCCTCTTCGAACTGGTCTCCACCAAACGCAGACACACAGGGCTTTATTCCTCCAGTTCCCAGAGCTATCAGGGCCAGGCCAATCATGGACAGTGCCCTAGGGAAAGGAGAGGCAATATTGCAGAAATGTGAGATTCTTCAAAGCAGGAGTCTCTCTGTCCTCTAATTTCCCTCAGAGGATCAGGGACAGTGGTTCTATTTGGGTTCCTGGGCGCAATTTCCAATGTAGGGAGGGGAATCCCCATACTAACAATAAACAATTCACGGCCACCGGCTGGGTGTCCTACAATTCAAAGCAATTCTGACACTCTCTATCCGGAGACAGTATCAGATTCCACAGCTCATATGACCCAGCAACAGCACTGCTGGGAATTTATCCAAGGGATACAGGAGTCCTGATGCATAGGGACACATGTACCCCAATGTTTATAGCAGCGCTTTCAACAACAGCCAAATCATGGCAAGAGCCCAAGTGTCCATCAACTGATGACTGGATAAAGATGTGGTACATATATACAATGGAGTACTACTGACCAATGAAAAAGAATGAAGTCTTGCCATCTGCAACTACATGGATGGAACTGGAGGGTATCATGCTGAGTGAAATACGTCAGTCAGAGAAAGACAGATATCATGTTTTCACTCATATGTGGAAGTTGAGAAACTTCACGGAAGACCATGGGGGAAGGGAAAGAAAAAAAAACATATGGTTACAGAGAGGGAGGAAACCCATAAGAGACTTTTAAAAACAGAGAACAGGGGCGCCTGGGTGGCTCAGTCGGTTAAGCGTCCGACTTCAGCTCAGGTCACGATCTCGCGGTCCGCGAGTTCGAGCCCCACGTTGGGCTCTGGGCTGGTGGCTCAGAGCCTGGAGCCTGCTTCTGATTCTGTGTCTCCCTCTCTCTCTGCCCCTCCCCCGTTCATGCTGTGTCTCTCTCTGACTCAAAAATAAATAAACGTTAAAAAAAAATTAAAAAAAATAAACAGAGAACAAACTGAGGGTGAAAGAGAGTGAAATGGGTGATGGGCATCGAAGGTGGCACTTATTGGGATGAGCACTGGGTGTTTTATGTAAGTGATGTATCATGGGAATCTACTCCTGAGGCCAAGAGCACACTGTACACACTGTATGTTAGCTAACTTGACAAAAAATAATACTAAAAAAAATAATTAAAAAAAAATTCCACAGGTTAAGGGCTCAGTCCTATAAGACTGCCTTCCCCCCGACTTCAGGCACCACAGGCAAGCCTAGGTTGTCACCTGTGCTTCTGACTGATAAGCTACAAATTGGAAGTTCCAAAGACCATCTCCTTGAACTTCAGATACAAGCCACAATCCCAGGTTGTTGCCTGTACTTCTGACCTACTGGCTATAAATCAGTATAAACGACCTCCTTGTAGGGTTCAATTAACTTGCCGGAGCTGCTCACAGAACTCAGGAAACACTTTACTTACTAGATCATCAATTTATCATAAAAGGATATAACTTGGGAGCACTCAAGTGGAAGAAACGCACAGGACAAAATAGGTGGGAAGGGGCACGGAGCTCCCACGCCCTCTCCAGGGTGCCTCTGTCCCCATACCTCCCTGTGCCTACCAACCTGGAAGCTCTTCCAACCCTGTCTTTTGGGTTTTTATGGAGGCTTCCTTACATAGGCATGCTTGATTAAATCATTGGCCTCTGGATATTAACTCAATCTCTAGGCCCTCTCCCCCTCCCTGGAGGTCAGGGGGTGGGAATGAAAGTTCCAACTCTCTAGTCACATGATTGGTTCTTTTGGCAACCAGGCTCCATCCTTAGCGAGGTCCCCAAAGTCACCTCATCAACATAACAAGAGATAGTTCACCACTCTCATCACTTAGGGAATTCCAACGGTTTTAGGAGCTCTGTTCCCAAAACAGGGAAGATTGAATATGTATTTCTTATTATAAATCACAATCTCACAGTAGTTAAACACAGAGAAGGGACTCAACCTGTTTGAGAAGATAATTCACAGGAATACAGTCTTGATAGCAGAATGAAATTTGAATTCATGGGCCTTAACATTACTACCATAATCTACTATCTTTTGATCTTCTCAAGAGATGCAGAGAAAGCATTTGACAAAGTACAGCATCCTTTCTTGATAAAAACCCAAGATCATAAAAGCTATTCACAAAAGATCCACCGCTAATGTCATCCTCAATGGGGAAAAACTGAGAGCTTTCCCCCTAAGGTCAGGAAAACGACAAGGATGTCCACTCTCACCACTGTTACTCAACATAGTGTTGGAAATCCTAGCCTCAGCATTCAGATAACACAAAGAAATAAAAGGCATCCAAATTCGCAAGGAGGAAGTCAAACTCTCACTCTTTGCAGATAACATGATACTCTATGTGGAAAACCCAAAAGACTCCACAAACTGCTAGAACTGATCCATGAATTCAGCAAAGTTACAGGATATAAAATCAATGCACAGAAATTGGTTGCATTTCTATACACCAATAATGAAGCAGCAGAAGGAAAAATTAAGGAATCTATTCTATTTACAACTGCACCAAAAACCATAAAATACCTAGGAATAGAGTTAACCACAGAGGTGAAAAATCTATACACTGAAAATTATAGAAAGCTTGTGAAATAAACTGAAGAAGACACAAAAAAATGGAAAAACATTCCATGCTCATGGACTGGAAGAACAAATATTGTTAAAATGTCGATTCTGCCCAAAGCAATCTACATATTCAATGCAATCCCTATCAAGATAACACCAGCATTCTTCACAGAGCTAGAACAAACAATCCTAAATTTGTATGGAACCAGAAAAAAACCTGAATAGCCAAAGCTACCCTGAAAAAGAAAACCAAAGCTGGAGGTATCACAATTCTGGATTTCAAGCTATATTACAAAGCTGTAATCATCAAGACCGTATGGTACTGGCACAAAAAAGACACACAGATCAATGGAACAGAATAGAGAACCCATAATAGACCCACAAACGTATGGCCAACTAATCTTTGACAAAGAGGAAAGAATATCCAATGGAAAAAAGATGGGCTCTTCAGCAAATGGTATTGGGAAAACTGGACGCTGACATGCAGAAGAATGAACCTGAACCACTTTCTTATACCAGACACAAAAATAAACTCAAAATGCATGAAAGACCTAAACATAAGTCTTGAAGCCATCAAAATCCTAGAGGAGAAAACAGGCAACAACCTCTTTGATCTTGGCCGCAGCAACTTCTTACTTGACATGTCTCCAGAGGCAAGGGAAACAAAAGCAAAAATGAACTATTGGGACCTCATCAAGATAAAAAGTTTCAGCATGGTGAAAGAAACAATCAGCAAATCTAAAAGGCAACCAAGGGAATGGGAGAAGATATTTACAAATGACACATCAGATAAAGGGTTAGTATCCAAAATCTATAAAGAGTCTATCAAACTCAACATCCAAATACCAAATAATCCAGTGAAGAAATGGGCAAAAGACATGAATAGACATTTTTCTAAAGAAGACATCCAGATGGCCAACTGACACATGAAAAAATGTTCAACAAACTCATTAGCAGGGAGATACAAATCAAATCCACAATGAGATACCAGCTCACATCTGTCAGAATGGCTAAAATTAACAACTCAGGAAATGACAGATGTTGGTGAGGATGCAGAGAAAGAGGAACACTTTTGCACTGCTGGGGGGAATGCAAACTGGTGCAGCCACTCTGGAAAACAGTATGGAGGTTCCTCAGAAAGTTAAAAATAGAGCTACCTCGCAACCCAGCAACTACACTACTAAGTATTTATCCAAAGGACACAGGTGGGCTGTTTTGAAGGGGCTCATGCACCCCAATGTTCATAGCAGCACTATCGACAATAGCCAAAGTATAGAAAGAGCCCAAATGTCCATCGACGGATGACTGGATAAAGAAGTCATGGAGTACTCGATCCAAAAGAATGAAATCTTGCCATTTGCAACAACGTGGATGGAGCTAGAGGGTATTACGCTACGTGACATTAGTCAGTCAGAGAAAGACAAGTATCATATGACTTCACTCATATGTGGAATTTAAGATACAAAACAGATGAACGTAAGGGAAGAGAAGCAAAAAATAATACGAAAACAGAGAGGGAGACAAACCATAAGAGACTCTTAAATACAGAGAACAAACTGGGGGTTGCTGGAGGGGTTGTGGGGGGATGGGCTAAATGGGTGAGGGGCATTAAGAAGGGCACTTGTTGGGATGAGCACTGGGTGCTACATGTAAGTGATGAATCACTGCATTCTATTCCTGAAATCATTATTACCCTCTCTGTTAACAAACTTGTATGTATATTTAAAAAACTTAAAGCAACCGCTTGAATACTGGACAAGGATTTATGTATGGAATTCTTTTGTAGCTCTTACCGTTTTCAGTAAAATAATGGGTAGGTAAAATGTGTCTGCGTGCACTGTGTCTAGTACAATCACAATAGAATCATTAATAGTCATGAAAAGCCATGGAAAAAGACAATTTAAATGCAAAGCAGAGTATCAGGTTATGTGGTATGATCTTAACTTGTTTACAAAGTACAGAAGACTGGAAAGAAGCAGAACGAAAGATTTACTACTATAATCTTTTACAATGATAGAAGAGATTATTTGTAATAATGGAGGGAATTAAGGCTTAGTTATTTTTACTTCCCTTGTATTTTCCAAGTCTATGTATTTTACCTCCTGAATTGAAAAAAATCACTCATGGAACTTACCAACTCCCATTTTGTAGTTTTGTTAGATTTATAGTAGGTACTACAAATTTCAGGTTTAAAAAAATTTTTTTTTAAGTTTATTTATTTATTTTGAGAGAGAGAGGGAGCATGAGCACATGCACAAGCTGGGGAGGGGCAGAGAGAGAGAGAGAGAGAGAGAGAGAGAGAGAGAATCCCAAGCAGGCTCCACGCTGTCAGCACAGAGCCCAGTGGGGGGTTTGAACTCACAAACCATGAGATATGACCTGAGCTGAAATCAAGAGTTGGACACTGAACTGACTGAGCTACCCAAGCACTCCCAAATTTCAAGTTTTATAAGGGTTTACTCCAAATCTTCTTGTTTGCAAATATTACTTTAAAATTCTAACAAATATTTTAGGAAACTATAGATAAAGTCAAGGAAGATACTGCACATTGAAAAATTCCTTTAAAAAATCTGCTCAGGGGCGCCTGGGTGGCTTAGAGGGTTAAGCGTCCGACTTCGGCTCAGGTCATGATCTCTCGGTCTGTGAGTTCGAGCCCCGCATTGGGCTCTGTGCTGACAGCTCAGAGCCTGGAGCCCATTTCAGATTCTGTGTCTCCCTCTCTCTCTGCCCCTCCCTTGTTCATGCTCTGTCTCTCTCTGTCTCAAAAATAAATAAACGTTAAAAAAAAAATTAAAAAATCTGCTCATCTTAGGGCTCCTGGCTGGCTCAGTCAGAAGAGCGTGTGACTCTTGATCTCGGGGATGTGAGTTCAAGCCCCATGTTGGGTGTAGAGTTTAGTTAAATAAATAAAACTTAAAAAAAATCATGCTCCTCTTCTTGAATTAACTGGCTGAAGCACTTTTTTTGTTTGCCTCTTAATAAACTTGTGCTTAGTGCTATCACTTTTATTTTTATTTATTTATTTTTAAAATTTTTTTATGTTTAGAGGCACCTGGGGGGCTCAATCGGTTGTCTAACTCAGGCTCAGGTCATGATCTAGCGGTTCATGGGTTCGAGCCCCATGTTGGGCTCTGTGCTGACAGCTCAGAGCCTGATGCAGGACTCAAACTCACCAGCAGTGAGATCATGACCCGAGCTGAAGTTGGAAGCTTAGCCAACTGAGCCACTCAGACACCCCCAAACATTTTAAATGACAACAAAACATGGCCGGTTGGATATGATGTACCGGCCCCTCTAGTGAGAGCTGTAGGTATGCTTGAATATGAACTCCATGAAATACCCGAAGAGACTAAGCTTTCTTGAATACTTACCACTTGCCAGGCCATGCTGTGGGTCCTTTACCCAGATTAAGGCACAAAACTGCCACACGAGGTAGGCACTAGTTAAAGTGAGGAAACCTAGGCACAGAGGTTAAGAAATGTGCTCAAGATCCCACAACTAGTAAAGGGCATAGCCAGCATTTGAACCGTTAGCCTGGCTCCAAAGTCCATGTTCTTAACTGATACCATAGAAGAGAAAACTGAGGCCTGGGGAAGGTGAGCTGCCCAGGTCTTACAGCTCCTTTGTGAGTAGCTGGGACTCAGACATTGGAAGTGTGAGCTCCTGATCCGGTCATACAACCACTCCCTCCCACCAGCGCAGTTCTCTGTGGGCACCGAGGGTGTTGCAGCAAGGGACCGGGTCTAAACAGCAATCCGATTGGCTAACAAACCAGAAACGCCGGAATTGCAGAAACCAATTTGAATTTCAGTGATATTTCCCCAACCCATACGATACGTTACTCATAGATCAAGGAACGGAAGCACAAGAACCAGAAACAAAATACATTTTTATAAGGCCAGACTGTAGTGATGGGAAATTAGTCTCACAGAGGAGCATTTGTCAACGGCACTTTCCATCAAGAACTCAGAACACAGGGCTGCAATAAATATTTATGAAACTGAATTACTGAAAAATAAGCAGAAGTATGGTATGAGGAGACACCCAAAGGTACAGAGTCTTGAGGAAACCTGGCACGATTAGGGATCAAGGTCTGTGGGAGTTCTGTCCCTGTGAGGAAGATCAAGATTAACACAAGTATTCCGGGCGCTGACTGTGTGTCATGTGACTTGTACCCGAGACAGCAAGGCATCGAGTGAGCAGTGGCTCCAGACAGCTGCTAGGATGGTGACATACATAGACCCAACTCTTAGTCAACGAAAAAGCTTCCTCTATGCTGATGAGGGAGGAAAGACCTCCTTGCACTTACGGTGAAGTTCAAGGAAAAAAGATGAAAAATTAGAGCACGGAGTAAGCCACCAGTGGCGGGGGGTGGGGTTGGGGGAGGGCAGCAGGTTTCAACTCACACATGTGTGGGGAGGTTGTCAGGGATTCCGTCATGGTCGAAGTCTGTGAGGTCATTAATGGAACTGACTGAAATCACCGCCTGTCCGATTGTGTACACGATGGACAGCGACACGATCGTCCTGTGTTGAGAGGGGTTAAGAGAACCTAAGTTAACTGCATGGTAGGAGCCCACTTCCTTCCCTCCCACAGAAAGGTCTCTTGCTTCAAAAGGCAAGATGCCAGCCATTGTGTACTTGTTTCTCAAACTTGAGTACCACTGGGAACTCTTCAAACAACAAAACGAAAAACAAAAACAAGAACTGTTAACTCCTAGAAAGGCAGCCTGCTGGAGAATTTGTTGCCCAGCACGCACGTGTAAGTCCCATCGGCTGGAGCCAGGGGAAGGGGCGGAAGATCGGTTTCATCTCTGAATTACTTGAAAAACTCAGTGTTTCCTCTTACCTAACTGCTGAGTCCATCTATCTTCAAAAGTAAGAGATACTTATCTTGTGCCTGGTAACAATATTTGGCCAGGAGTGGGCCATTAATTATTTACCAAAAAAATTTTTAATGTTTAATTTTAAGAGAGACAGAGACAGTGTGAGTGGGTTGGGGCAGAGACAGAGGGAGACACAGAATCTGAAGCAGGCTCCAGGTTCTGAGCCCCCTACGCAGGGCTCGAACTCACAAACTGCGAGATCACGACCCGAGCCGAAGTCGGATGCTTAACCGACTGAGCCACCCAGGTGCCCCAGTCATTTTTATATTGTATTGAATGTACAGTGAGTTAATTTGTGTTTTCCAAGTTATCTAAGTATTTTACCTCCTGAACTGAAAAAAGAAAATCACTCCTAGGATTTACCAACTCTCATTTTGTGGTTTTGTTAGATTTATAGCAGGTACTACAAATTTCAAGTTAAAAACAATTTTT